CTGGGGTGTGTGCACGTGAAGGGGCGTGGGGTGGATCCTGGGGTGTGTGCACGTGAAGGGGCAGTGGAGTGGATCCTGGGGTGTGTGCACGTGAAGGGGCAGTGGAGTGGATCCTGGGGTGTGTGCACGTGAAGGGGCGTGAGGTGGATTTAGGGCAGGCAGTGAAATTTGGGCACAAAGATAAAAAGAACGGATGCTGTCAGCGACTAAAACTCATAAAGAGCATCCATAGTAAGTACATCTGTCTATTTAAGTGCTTCACGTTTTAAACACATTTCTATATTACACATTGTGAAATTCGAAATTAAACTTGACAGGTCTTGGAAACCAGTGGATCAGAACCAGTACGTACCAGTAAAACCATTTTACACCACACGCACACAAACTATCCGAACATCTTATATTTACTAGCCGCACATTTCGGAGCAACCTGGAATCGCAGCAAGGCCTCCAGTAATAGAGTAACAAGCGAGCAGCCACCAGGGGGCAGCAGAGTACATTTATAGCCCATGTGAATAAATATATAGGGATGATCTGAATGAAAATTGCATATTCTCAAAGGATGACCTCAATGGGCAACAAACACGTCAAACAGTAAGTATTTTCTGAGCGGCTTTTCAGAGGTCAAACATCTGTAATAAAACAAAATGAGTAGTTACTGGCAAGAAGAGAATAGTGGTACTGTTACAACAGTCAATGACCAAGGTACACTGGTTAGAAAAATCACACCTTTATTTCCTTCTACACAGCTGGCTACATTTTGTCCTATAAACAGTCCAGAATTGGCAGTTCAGTACCTTCCCACACAAACTACGCAAACACAATTAAGCCATGAGGGTATTAATGCATTAAACCAGGGGTACCGCAAAGGGCCGGTGTGTATGCGGGTTTTCGCTGCAACTCCCTAATTGGATTACTAATTAGAGGACTGATTGGCTGAAAGAATCCTCGCACCTGGGTTTGAACAACTGACCTACAAGTTATCCCAAAAAGCTGCACACACACTGGCCCTTTGCGGATAAGATTGGCCACCCCTGCATTAAACTAACGAGTGTGAGGAGTCAGGACGGCATGGTGAGATGAGGGACACCACCCGTCACGCAGACTGCTACTCTGCTGCTTCCTTAATGCAAATTTGTGTTCATTGGAACCTGGTTTCAGTTATTCACCAGCTTAATATTTGGTTGCCCTTTATCTACACAAATTCCCACATAAAGCTGACTGACTTAAACCACAAGAAATGCCCCCCCCCCCTTAACTCTGGAAGTAAACCACGGCGTTAGCTTGACAAAGGCGGGCCTGTAGGTTTGCAGACTTGTCTGTGTGCAGCAGTTTGCTACAGAAGACAGAAGCTCTTCCCTTAAGGACCCGCTGGTCAATTCTGGCTTTCACACAAACAAAAGCCTTGTGAACATTTTTAAAGGATAGGCGGCAAAATAAAACGCCAAATACAAAGCTGTCCACTCCCGTGGATAAATTAAATGTTTTGTGGAATGTTCAGCATAAGTACCAGTATCCACAAAAAGAAATTGTTACAATCCTATAAGCATAATAAGCCAGAGGAAGCACAAGTACAGAATTAAAACACCATGCTCCATGTGGGTCATGTTTATTGCGGGTTAACATCAGGGATCATTTTCTTAATGCGTTCCCTGATGGCTCACTGGCAGGCCATTTCTTAGGCTTTTAGGGCAAGACATCCCCTTACAAACGAACAGGAAATTTAAATACAGCAACCAGCTCTGTCCTTAAGCAGCCACTGAATTTGTAGTGCCAGCAACATGCCTTGTGTGTGAAGTGGAGCAGCACGCCGGGCGAGCAGCCCCCGTGTGGATATGCTACGCGTTAGCGGGGATCAAAACCCCCCATGGTCCACTACAAAAAGCACCTCACCTGGACATGCACACATCCAAGCAACACAGCTTCGTTTTACCACCATGTCATGGAATCATTTACTGGACCCCATTCGGCACCCCCCCCCCCCTCCCCCCTCAGCTGAGACATACTTAGAATGAAGTGGTTTCCTCTGATCATGAGCTATGTTCCAGTTGGGTATAAATGCAGCATCTCCCTGTACTACGCTGACCTTTTTCCTAGCAATCTCAAGCTTAGTTTAATAAGTGAAATGCATATGTATGGCAGGGACACACATGGTCAACGTCATGTGGAACAATCTAGAGAAGTCAGAATGCTGCCTTGCATAACGGGAAAGGGGACCTTCCAATTGAAGCTGCACAATGAACCTTATGAGCACAGAGACCGTCATAAAAAAATGTAGCGTCTGGATCAGGCGGCCGCG